AGTGTTCTATATTGCTAAGCTAGGATGCCTGTGGGTTTGGGTGTGGGGAAAGCATTTTAGACTGATGATCTATTACATAATCCTTTGGAAGAAATTCTATTTTATTTTATTTTGTGCTGATATTGGGGCTTGAATTCAGAGCCTTGTGTTATTGCTCAGCTCTTTTCTCTCAAAGTTGAAGTTTTACCATTTGAGCCACCTCTCACTTTAGTTCTTTGCTGGCAAATTGGAGGTAAGAGTTTTGAGAAAATTCTGCTGGGGCTGGTTTTGAATGGAGATCTTCTGATCTCATCCTACTAAGAGGCGAAAATTATAAGTGTGAGCTACCTGCATCCAGCAGGAATATCTGTATCTGAATACAGGAATAGGAAGGCTATAGCTTGCAGCCACAAACCTCAAACCAATAGAGTAAATAAAACAAGTTACTATATTTTCCAAAAAGAAATGTACTCTTTACCTGATTTATGTTAACTGTAACCCCTCTGTACATCATCTTTATAATAACAAAAATATTTAAAAAGAGCCGGGTGTCGGTGGCTCACGCCTGTAATCCTAGCTACTCAGTAGGCTGAGATCTGAGGATCACCGTTCAAAGCCAGCCCAGGCAGGAAAGTCCATGAGACTCTTATCTCCAATCAAGCACTAGAAAACCGGAAGTGGCACTGTGGCTCAAGCGGGAGAGTGATTGCCTTGAGATGAAGAGCTGAGGGATAGTGCCCAAGCCCTGAGTTCAAGCCCCACGACCGACAAAAAAAAAAAATTAAAAAGAACAACAAAAAAGTCACTATTTGGTGTTACTGGCTCATACTCATAACCATAGATACTCAGGAGTCTGAGATCTAAGGATAGCAGTTCAAAGCTCGACTATGCAGGAAAGTTTATGAGACTCTTATGTTCAATAAACTACCAAAAAGCCAGAAGTAGAGTTGTAGTTCAAGCGGTAGAGCACCAGCCTTGAGCAAAAAAGGTAAGTGACAGTGCCCAGGCTTTGAGTTCAGGCCTCAGTACCATCACAAAAGCAACACCACTCACTGATTTATATGTTTAGGAAATTCTCAAGAGGCCAGATGCCAGAAAGAATAACCTAAGGAGATGTAGGTTTTAACTGCAATTTTTTTTCAAAAAGTAGATTTTAGGCAGAAGCATGGGGTACTTAAAATTTTCTACTACCTAGTTTTCTTCATTGTGGAACATGAAGGGTGGACTTGACCATCTCAAGGCTATTATCAGCTTTGTAATACTTCTGTGATTACACGGAATGAAGATGGGCATGACATGTACCAAACAAAATAGTTCTAAATTTAGGCTCCAAGAGTACAAGTCAGAGAACATAGTACATTAAATATGCAGAAGATGGGCTGGGAAGGTGGCTCAGTGGTAGAGCGCTTGCCTTGCATGCCTGAGGCCCTGGGTTCGATTCCTCAGCACCACATAAGCAAAAAGAAAAAAGCCAGAAGTGGCGCTGTGGCTCAAGTGGTAGAGTGCTAGCCTTGAGCTGAAGAGCTGAGGGACAGCGCCCAGGCCCAGAGTTTAGGCCCCACGACCAGAACCCCCCCCCAAAAAATAATAAATAAATAAATAAATAAATAAATATGCAGAACAATGGGCAAAGTAGTTCTTGAGAGACTGGGCAAAGGATTGAGAGTCCAAGTCCAGCCTGGGCTACTGAGATGCTGTTTCAAAAACAAACAAACAGATGTATATGTGTTCAGGAGAAATAAATCACAATCTTCTATCACAAAATCAAATGAACAAATAAACAACAGTGACAACAACAAAAACACTTAGTGGGTATTAAGCAGTTCTGGAAGAAATTTTGGTTAGACTCGTGTCTCTGCCATTTAATATATGGATAACCCTGAGCCAGGTCCGTAAGACCTCAGTTGCAGTTTTTCATTTGTGTGTGTGTGTGTGTGTGTGTGTGTGTGTGTGTGTGTGTGTGTGTGTGTGTAAAATGGGGCTTGAACTCAGGGCTTCATCCTTTTTGCTCAGCTTTCTCCATTCAAGGCTAACCCTTTACCCCTTGAGCCACAATTTCACTTTCAGATTTTTGCTGGTTAATTGGATTTGTCTGCCCCAGCTATTTTTGAACCACTCAGATCTCAGATCTTAGATCTCAGCCTCCTGAGTAGATAGGATTTCAGGTGTGAGCCACCAGTGGCTGACTTAATTTTGTTCTTGATGAATACAGACAGGACTAATCTCATGTGCCGCAGCATCAATCACTTTGCACTCTAAAAAAACCTATGGGGGGCTAGGAAGGTGGCTCAGTGGTAGAGTCCTTGCCTTGCATGCATGAGGCCCTGGGTTCAATTCCTCAGCACCACATAAGCAAAAAGAAAAAAGCCAGAAGCGGTGCTGTGGCTCAAGTGGTAGAGCGCTAGCCTTGAGTTGAAGAGCTGAGGGACAGCGCCCAGGCCTAGAGTTCAGGCCCCATGACCGGACCCCCCCCCCCCCAAAAAAAAGAAAGAAACCTACTATGCTTTAAGCCAGAAAGATGTGGATAATGGCTTATAGTATCTTAGTCCTGGGAAGAGGCTTTGATATTTTCAGCATAACAGGTAGGTGGCTGATAGACCTTTTGACTTTCTTTCTAGCCTCCAATGACACACCTTATGCCTATTTAATTTTTACACAAAAGGATAGATGAAAGAAACATAATAGCTTTTAAAAATTGTGTATGTGCTGGTAGAGGAGCTTTCTCAAAGGTGGTGCTCTACCACTTAAGTCATGCTTCTAGTCCTGCATTTTGCTTGTTAAGAGATAAAGGTCTTGGAGACTTTTCTGCCTGGACTGGCTTTGTACCTCTGTTCTCCAGATGTGAGCCTCCCAAGAAGCTAGGATTACAGGTGAGAGCCATTGGTGAGGCTCAACAGTTGAGGGTCTTGGGGAAAGGACTAGCTGGTTAAGAGGCTAGAATTGCAGGGTTCTCATGAAGTATGGGGTTTACAAGCTTTGCCTGTGGCCTTTATTCATATTTAGCCCATTCTAATATGGTGAATAACCTAGTGTGTTTATTGGCCACTTTCTAAAAAGCGTAATAGGTTAAGAAATGTTGCCTATGTATGTGCATATTTGTTGATGACACACTGATGATTTCTCTTACAATTCAGAAGTTTTGAAATTTCAAGGACTTTGACGATGACAGTATCTCTACATAAGGTGAAATTGCTTTGACCCATTTTCCATTAGTAAATGTTAGAAAACAATCCTCTCCTATGTCTTCTTCCTTCTTTTCTCCGTGTCCCTGGTCAAATATGTCATGGAGCCATGTGCATACTAGGGGAGACCCCAAATAGAAGAATAACTGATGTCACAGGTAAGATTCCACAGCTTCATCTCTGACATTACAATTAGCCTTTATCAGAAGGGCTAGGGAAGAACTCAGAATATACAGAACTCAAGGACAAGGGCCCAATTCGACCCTAAGTAGAGGTATGTTTCCACTTCCCACAGAAGAGCTGAGAAGGAATGAAAACTCTTTAGAAAAAAGGAACTCACAAGTGTGGCTGCCATAACATTAGAAAGAATAATGTGCAGAGATAACAGGGTCACCTTCCATTACCACAGCCACTCCCCCTTGTAAAACCCAGGGTTCAGATTCTAGAAAGCCTCAATATCAATTCCATGTCTTTCCCACATTTTGACCAACAAAGGATGACCAAATCACTTGGTTATTAAATCAAGAAACTTTCATGACTTAGCTAAGTCTGAAGTGGCCCCAAGCCTATATCTCACAATGATATTGTGGTACAAAAACCAGATGCTGTTGCAGTCAGGTTTAAAATAAACATACTTCAATTCTTATAAACAATAAGCCACACTATTTTCTCTCTCTTTTTTCCCTTCTCCTTTCCTTTCCCTTCTCCTCCCCCTCCTCTCTCCTCTTTTTCCTTTCTTCTTTCCTTCCTCCCGTCCTTCCTTCCTTCCTTCCTTCTTTCTTTCTTTCCTTTCTTCCTTCCTTCCTTCCAAAAAAAATTTTTTTGTGCTGGTAGTGGGGCTTGAACTCAGGGCCTAGGCACTGTCCCATGGCTTTTTCACTCAAGGCTAGAACAATACCATTTGAATCACAACCCAACCCTTCCCTTCCCTTCCCTTCCCGTTTCTTTTCTTTCTCTTCTTTTTGCTTTCTTGTTAATTGGAGATCAGAATCTCATGGACTTTCTTGCCTGAGCTGGCTTCCAACCCTGATCCTCAGATCTCAGCCCTCCTGAGTAACTAGGATTACAGACTTCCATGCCAGGCCATACTACCTTTTTAAAACAAGTGTGTGATTCCGGCAGAAGGCTAGGGCTACCTCAAGCTGGGAGTGGAGCCCCAGGTGGAGCAATAAGGAAGGGTGTGGCACGAAAGAGGATGTTAAGGGCAATGTTCATTTCTGACTTAGGAGAGAGGCCTATCTGAACATTTTAAAGGGATTTGCGTTTCATCAAGCTCTGGGTTCTCGACTGCGCCAAGGCCCATCCATAGCTAACCTCCCATGTCCCTGAGGTTTCTATCTATTAACAAACTATAATGGCTGGGGGAACTTTTTTTTTTTTTAAATCAATCTATTCTCATTCTTAGATACCAAACTTCCTGGTTTGTGTTCTTGGCAGATTGGAGCTAAGAAAGAGGGACAGTCGGGATACAATGTCCACAAGCTACGAGGGAACCCTTGGTGGGATGGGCCTGACTGGCTGGGGGCTCTGAGCCAGGGCTGTGGGTGCTTTGTTTGGAGACAGAGGTGCAAGGGCTCAGGCTGGTTCTCTGAGGGCGATCGCTCCCCAGCTCGGAGAGGGCTCCCAGGCCGGCTTCCGAGGAGCCCAGACCCTACACCCCGGTCTCTAGCTGAGCGCCCCTTCCCATCCCAGCGTCCCACCTCCGTCAGGACCCCTTCCAACCTGAGAGTCCCACTTCATCTGAGTCCCCACCTCGGAGAGTCCTCCTCACCCCCAGATGATGCTCCCTTCCCGGTTCCAGCCCCTTTTCCCAGAGTCCCCTGCCCCCCTGCATCTGACCTGCACCGTGCCTTGGAGGTGTCCGCTGCCAGCACAGCGTCTGGCCAATTTGCAGCTGCGCCCCGCAGAGCAGGTGCCAGAGCTTGCCGCCGGCCCCGCCCCGCCCATCGAGGGCCCTTCCCACCCCTCCCTCCCTGCTCCAGCCAGCCTGCAGAGCCTGCAGTCTCCGGAACTGCACCTGCCTCCATGCTCTTGACCCTTCCTGACCTTTCCTTGGAGATGTCACCTGTCCCTAGGCACTATCTGCTTCGAATGTAGGCTGTTCTGGTGCCATCCAAGTGGACTTTGACCAACTGTAACCTTCAACTATGCAAAGTAATCACAAGGTCTGAGAGGTGGGGATCACTAGGAGCAGTCTCTAAAAATTGCTTACCAAGTCAAACAATCAGGTAAGAACCAGGGAAACAGCCACGGATCATCTGGCAAAGGGGGTTCCTTCCAGTTGGTACACGCAGTACCAATGTCCAACGGTTAGCTTCTATGCTCATATAGTTCATTCATTTATTATTCCATCCACTCACCCACCCAGTCAGCCATCCACCCATCTACCTGACCACCAATCCACTCATCTATTCATCCATCTACCCACCATTCATCCATCCATCTATCCATTCAACGAATCTGCTAGGGGCTTCTCTTACTACAAACTGACCTATGGATGGCCTAGGTGCTCAGGAGGAGTGGCTTTCTTATCTAGAATAGAAATATGATCCAGTTTGGCTGTCAAAGTAGCTTTGCATCTTTGTAGTTATCATCCTGGTTATCTCTGGCTAAGGGATTAGCTTATTCTGTCATCCTGTTTGCGCCTCCTCACCCCCTGGAGGCATTAAAAGAACTAAAAGAATGCTGGAGCTTGGGCTCTCCTCAGATAACTTATGAGAATTGAGTAGAGGGAATGCAGAACTGTTAAAAACTTCTCAGGGCTAGGTGCCCAGTGGCTCAACCTTGTTACTCTGGAGGCTGATATCTGAGGATTGTGGGTCGAAGCTAGCCCAGGTAAGAAAGCCCATGACATGAAAGTCTTATCCCTGATTAACTACCAATAAAGCCAGAAGTAGAGCTGTAGCTCAAGTGGTACAATAAAGCCCATGACATGAGAGTCTTATCCCTGATTAACTACCAATAAAGCCAGAAGTACAGCTGTAGCTCAAGTGGTACAATATTAGCATTATGCACTAAAAGCTCAGGGACAGAGCATAGGCCCTGAGTTCAAGCCCCAGAATTGGCACACACAAGACAAGCTTCTCAGATGATTGGGGAAAGTCAGGGATGAGAACTGTAAGGTCCACGCCTGGATGGTGAGCTGACTCCACCCTCCTCACAGCAAAGTCTCTGCCCAGTACCTGCGTTACCTAGGCAACTGGCACACCTGGTAGATGTCACAGCTGGATTCGATGTGGCCACACCTCCCCCACCTCCCCCAAGGCCTAGCCCAGGGCCAGATGCCCTCTTTCCCAGGTCTTTTCCCAACTGTATGGAGGGCCAACAAGGCCTGGTACCAGCCAGAATGATGAATAAACCTACCCCTTACCTGAATACTACGTGCGTGGTATGGTTCTTATTCAGCAACCTCTTTAAAACCTAACAAGAGTGGAGATCACTAAGATGCCTTCCAGTTCATTCTATTGTTGTAGGTTTCTTGGAGATCATGCTTCATGTATCCAGTTGTAAAGCAAGGCAAACAATGCTCACTAGGCAATACCAAAGGGCTGCTTCTTTAAAAAATAAAAAGATAATTTTATGTTATTGTTAGTATTAGGATGTTGTACAGAGAGGTAACAATTCCATGAGTCAAGTAGTGAGTACAAGTCTTCTTGGACAATGTCACCCTTTCTTCAATGTTGCTTCTTTTGCAGGGGCGTGGTGCGTAATGGCTTGAACTCAGGGCCTAAATTATGTTCCTGAGCTTCTTTTGCTCAAGGTTAGCATTCTACCACTTGAGCCACAGCTCCACTTTTGGCTTTGTCGGTAATTTATTGCAGATAAGAGTCTTACAGACTTTTCTTCCTGGGCTGTCTTCGAATCACCATCCTCAGATCTCAGACTTCTGAGTAGCTGGGATTACAAACAAGAGCCATCGGCACCTGGCTAATGCTGCTTCTTTTGTTCCAATAATCTTACTTTTCTATTCAGTCAGGAAAGGCACTGGAAAGCATGAAACATTAACTTGAAAAGGTCCTTCCTCTGTGCACAGGACCCATGGAGAGGAGAGATGGAAAAGATAATGGCCAGGAGGCTGTGCTGTCAGTTAAAAGGATAGTGGACCATGCATCTAAGGTGCTGGAGTCTGGAGCTTGGAGAACCTTTTAAGTTGATGCACAGAAAGCCCATCGAAAGGATCTGGTAGCCGAGAACTGTCTTGGGTGACAGATACTCAGGGCTCCACCTTACCCTGCATTTCAAAATCCATGGGTGTGAGCCAGTACAGGAACAAGTCTGGCATCTTAGCCTGAAAATGAGATCACCAGCCCTCATTGTCAGCCCAGAAGCTTCCTCCCTCATGGCTTAACACACTCTTTCCCTAGGCAACACCAGGCCCATGTAGTAAAGGCAGCAAACGATCAGTCCTTACCCACCTTTTCCCTGAGAGAGCACCCTGTTAGGATAGCTATGACCATTTAAGGCCGGGAGATCTCCCAAATCCTGGAGGTATAAACGGTCAGCTGAGACAATTGCCAGCACTTCTTCTCACTTCTTATCTGGTGAGATGGAGTCACGCAGGTCCCATTACTGGCAATAAATCTTTCCTTTGTTCTTCCTACCTGGATGTCCATGCTGGTTTTCTGGCTGAGTCTAACACTCCCGCTGATGCTTGTTATAGCATAGAGTTTCAAGTGGAGGATCAAATGGAGCCCTAGATGGCCATAACCCCGAGGAGGCTGTTTGTTTGGTTTGTGTTTCTTGACTCAAGATCTCACTGTGTAGTTCAGGCTGGCCTCAAACTTAACATACCTCAGTCTCTGAAATGCTGGGACACAGCCTTGTCTCACCATACTTGCTTCTGTATGCCTCCTATTTTCCTCATAAGCTAGTGTCATAAAACGTATGACACCTGTTAATTATATGGTTAGTGGAGGATAGAGATGCTTCTTAGTACTAAAAAATCAGAACTGAGAAATTATTTCTGCCTCAGATGGTAATGATTAGTTGTTAGGACAAATGAAATAATAATTTTTGTGCCAATACAGGGGTTTGAATTCAGGGCTTCACATTCTCCATTAGTTTTGTTGTTTTTTGTTCTTTTGTTTTGTTTTTTTTTCTGCTCAAGGCTGACCCTCTACCACTTGAGCCACACCTCCATTTCTGGCTTGGGAGTGGTTAATTAGAGACATTTCTTCCCAGGCTGGCTTTGAACCTTGGTCCACAGAGTACTAGGATTACAATTGTGGGCTACAACCACCCAGCCAAACGTTTTTTTAAAAAAAGTATGTAAAAATACAATTTGGAATATCATGAATACTAGCATTCTCTATGAGTGACAGAAAAGCCCTCCTCACCTTCTGCACATGCTCCTGCCATAATTTTTTGTGTCAGCATTTTCAGGATTTGTTAATAAGGTCAAAGCCAAGGCGGCCATTGCCCATACTCACATGTTGCATTTCCTATGTGAATGCTCCCCAATCTGTCTGCAGCCAGACAAATGTAGATGTGACTATAAGCTAACCTTCCTGAAACCTTTACTATCTTACCATTTTCCTTAGGAAAAAAAATAACAAAAATCCTTAATATTGCCTTTCTACTTTATGCTTTAGCTTCTGCTTATTTCCCAGCCTTCAAATATTCCATGCTATTGTTGTATAGATAATCACAACAGCTATCCATTGAATATTATAATTGACTATATGACATTTAGACCTATCTAAATGTATTCAAAATGCACTAAGGCCTGTGAATGTACTAAAAATACCAAATAAACATTTTTATGATTTAAATTTTTATTTAATAAAAAGGTACAAGTTTGACCATCTTTAATTTAAAAGAACCTAAATAAAAAATCTTCAAGGAAGTCAACAACAGGAAGACAATTAGGAAGTCAATTATAAAATGATACAATTATGCCAGCTAACAAAAGATTATCAAGCTATTTTAGTATAGAAGTAGAACACATGAATGGATAGAAATGGGTTTTCATGTACTCCTTACTCAAACTAAGGGTGTCATTTTAATTTTATTTTTTCTAGTACCAGACCTTGAAATCAGAACCCCATGTTTTCATTTGGCTTGCTTGCTCAATTGTATTCTACTACTTGAGCTATGTCGCCAGTCCAGAATTTTGCTTCTATTTTAGAAATAAAGTTTCACGGATATTTTTTGAACCAAGATTCTCCGAGTCTTAGCCCTTAACCTTTTGAATAGCTAAGATTATAAGCATGGTCCACCAGCTCAAAATGGCACTTATTTATTTGTTTTGAAGTAAGGTAATTGAATCTAAGTGATTTCTTGCAGCCATCCTGGTGCCTCTTGGTGGGTGAAGAATTCTCCACCTATGCTGAAAAGCCTAGAAGTGAGAGAAGCCATTCAGTGAATGCAGATGCCTAGCTTAAAATGAGCCAGGAGAGCTCTAGTTCAGAGAAATTCAGGTGTCATAGCCTTAGGAAAGCTTGGCATATAGAGAATGCTCTAATTCTGCCTTAATTAACTCCCTAAATGGCTTGAATCACCAGCCTCTGAGTAGCCTCTAAGCAGACCCTATATGGAAGGTTATAGCCTATCTTCCTTAGATAGAAAACTTCTGCTGGTACCTGAGTATGTCCATTTAAGGTCTAGCATCTTGTTTTCATGGTGGGAAACAATAAAGCTCCCTCCCCCCATTTCAGGTGATGGGCATACCTGGATCCCTGGAGACAGGGGTGGGTAATTGGCTGATAGGTTCCTGGAACTGTCAATCCAATGTCAGGGACTAGGAATTTCCTGTGACCCCGTCCCCTGCTCTGACCCTATTTAGGCCTGGACAAGCATAGGGGCCATTACGCCATGCCACTTGTGTCTGTGTTCGCGTCCTGTGTCCTATCTCCTGACTCTTCTGTGGTCACCATGG